TTATATTATTTTCAACACTTGATATTTTTTTTATGTCGTGTAATTTTTTTAACAATCTGTTCAACAATGTGAACATTGAGTAAATTTAAGATCGCGGTTGACATTAAATAGGTAATCTTTCCCGGTGGACAGTTATCATTATGATGATTTTTTTAAATTTTTTATTTGTTGGTTGACTGTCGTCTTGTAGGTTAACTCCAGTAGTATATTGATGATCTGCGATTCCACTATTTCCTTTGACTGTGAATCTGCTGCTGCTATCCTTAACACTGTCATTGTCCATCGACTGAACCTTATTCATATCACTGTCCATATGTAATGAACGATGGCCCTATTGCCTATTGTGAGAGGGCTCACAAAGTGCCTGGCTTTTGACCAGGATTCGAACCGTCGCCGGTTTGATCATGGGTAGGGCGACTAATAGCCGAATGGTTAAGAATGGTTGCTTGATATTTATAGGAGTTTAATACAGTTTAATATATATAGCAATACTTCTCATACTGCGAGTAATCTTGGACTGTTTGCAACCGGACTAGTCGAGGATTTTAAATCCGCTTAAAAATGAACTGTACAAAAAGAGATTATAAAAACTTGTATAATGTCCTTTGAACAATTAGTTAATGAAATCCTCTTTAATATATAAATGTTTTCTGACAATAATAAAATAATAGTCCATGTAATTAGATTGAACAAACTGTACATTCCTTTGAAAATTAATTTGCTTTTGCATTTCATTTTATTTCAACATTGTAAATATAATCTATATGGTAAAACAAACAATAATATTTATTTCTAGTTATATATAAAATATTAGAAATTAACCCATCTACACAATATGCGTTTTACCGCCTGACCATGCATATAAATCAATTAAACCAAAACAAAGGTAATTCATCGATTTACAATTAACATAAATAACATTATATCTAAATTATGTTTTCCCTAAATAAAATTTAATTTAAATATTTTGTTATTTTAGATATTAATATAATTTGTATAGATATTATGGTATAAACCGGAACATGATTTGGATTCTTACTTACTTTTGTATTCCTCTCTATAATTTATACGCAACAAATCCAGAAAAATTGGGATATCTAGTACAACTCTTTTTTTTTACCATAATTTTACTTAATCTGATTTTTTTCTATATCATATTTTATCCAATGCAATGAACGCCAAATCCGATTCAACAATGTTGTACCCAATTCACATAATATTGCTGTATTTATTTTTCCTAAAACGAGTTAAAAGATAATGTCTTTATATGACTTGACCAACCGTTGATAGGTTTAATTAGCTAACGTTTGTACGTTAGTTCGGTCAGAAGAGCTATAGCAAAAAGCTTTTAGTCCATTTTAAGTAATATATTTTTTAAATTAAAAGGTAAATAATATAAATGTATCAATATTATTATATCAATGGGTGAGAAAAATAGTATTTGAAATAAAATTTATTACAATTTAAAACATGAATGGAATTAATTTAACCAACTTTAGTAGAACAAATATAAAATGATACATGCATATAAAATATCTGTTATAATAAATATTGTTAAATTTGATATTTCTATACTAATTATATTATTATTTATGTATTTAACATAAGGGATCTCGACCAAGGTTTTTCCAAAATTATATTGTTTAACTGCAATCATTAGATATATATATATAATCAGTGCAGTTTAGAGATTTGGGTTGCATGTATAGGAACATGAAACAAAATAAACAATTTAATGAACCAGAAACCCGATATTGAATGTGTGGTAATTAGAGTTACCATTGCTTTGAACAGAATATAAACTGGATACGAATATAACCAAAAGCCTGTATTAAAGGTGTAATACAAATCCTCATTAAATTGCAGAGTCAGTCTGATTAAATGAAACAGAAAAATAATGCAATTACATAAAATAAATTCAGAAACTCTCTTGATGTAATCAAAAGTGAAGTGTAATAATAAAAAAAACATGTTTTAATTACTTTTATATGCTTATATTATTTCTAAAAGCAGATAATAATTAATTATTTTTAAATTAATTCAATGAATAATGTTGCTATTATAGTTTGAAATCTGTTGTGTCATAATCTTATGAGAACAATATCACAATTATTCATTATTGAGTTCGAAAGTCCACAGAAATATAAAGTTATTTGAATTTTTCATTATATACCTGACTGCTATGTCATTAAGTCATCAATTATCAATTAGTTAATAATGACAGATTATTGAATATTTATTTGAAGTTACAACCAAATATTTTAAAAGGTACTTAAATGACATTGAAAAGGTTTTATTTTCAGTGAAAATGATTCTGTTTTAGAAAGAAGTGCAAAGAAAATGTTTTTATTAAAAAATATATTTTTATTAGAAAGGAACGTATTTTGGTCATAGTATGTTTAATGAAATATAGCTATTGCAATGAATATTATTTTTTTTTAATTCTTCATATTAAAATTAATATAATTTATTGAAAAAAAAATTTCGTTTTTTCTTTGTATCCAATTATTTATGTAAATATATTTTATTTTCATTTAGGTATACCCATAGTAGCTACAAAATTGATTTTCAGTTAAACAACTCGAAGTCTTCAAATATTTCTAATAATTAAGAAAGGAAACTGAAGTTAAAAATAGAACAAACTTCAATGAGCTTGTTCATTACGCAGGTAAATACGGATTCTAATTAAAGAATACTGAATGAAGTGTACGCTCTGAGGAAAGGAATTTACGAAATTAAAATGTATTTATTGTAAAATGCAAGGAAAACAGTAGCGAATTCATCAACGACAGCGAGAATTAATAACGTGAGGAAATGAAATAAAGAAAAAGCGACGACGATGTTTTAGTTGCACGGAATTAAGTTCTAGGCACTAATGGGAATAAAAGACTACAGGCGAATAATAAAAATGTAGGAGGGAATGAAGTAAATAAGAATGATGGATACGTTCAGTGGGAAATGGAGATGTTTAACTGCTCAAGGGGATTAGTAGGATATATAATTATATGGTGTAGTATAATATACCTAGGATTATAATTAATAATAAGTAATATTCATTATTTAGTGAACACTTACAATGTTTTCTTGTTATTTATATGAATTTTCATTTCGATTTAGTATCATAATTGTATTTTTAAAATGTAGATATTATTATAAATAACTATAATAATATTATGGAATATAAATATGTTTTTAGTGTGAAATGATATTCTTTTTTTGTATACAAAGAATGAATTATATATTTTCTATTTTGTCTAATGAACTTTTGTCATTTATCTGGCAACTTCATGATTACGCGATTCCGTACTTATCAGCAAAAAACTGAACCAAGTGTGATTTCAAACAAACAATAAACCAACCAAATAAATAGCATGATCCTTTTTTGGGGTGCTTTGTGCTTGATCATGATCGTTTTCGATTTATGTTATTGTAGTTAATCCATTTTTCATTGCCAGTAATGATGTTTAAAAAAGTGTCGATATCATTGCGTTTGATATGGATAATGCAAATATTAATTCGATGTGTTAAGTAAATGTTTTTTTTAATTTATGCGAATATCGAAATGTGAATTACTTACGAACTAGTTTTATTTCAAAAGGTTGTTCGTAAGTCGGGAGTATTTTAAAAATTTCAAAATATAATTATCTTACCATACATTATCATGTTTTTTTACTCTTATATTTGTTAAATTCCATATTACTGATAGTCTAAATTTGAAAAATTACATTAAAATAAACAAAATACTTACTTACAAATCATTTTCAATGTAGACATCACAATTATTTAATAAAAAAAACAACAAAAGAAACATGCAACAAAACAGGTAGTACATCTTGGTCAGTTAATTTTTATTATCATTATATATTTCCTTGTAACAAGTTTTCGTAAGTCGGAGGATACGGGTACACTTTTTCGTATACAAATACTTTATTTTCCTCAAAACAAGATTGAAGTTGTTGTTTTTGCAAATTATAGTGTACATATTTAGTGTGAAGATAATTATATATTTTTATATATTCCGCCAATATACTGCACTGTTTGAAACTAATCGGGGTCGCATAAAATGGACACCATAAGAAGAAACTTAACTGCATGGAGAAAAAAAATCATTAATGTTTATACAATCATTTTGTGTTCTAATATGTCAGAATTTATTTTTAATTAAGTTTGTTTTGAAATTTTCACTATAGAAAGCGGATTGATCGAATTTGCACTATACTCACTATTTATAAATTATTATGTATTTTTGCTAGTTCATAGAGTTTTATTTGTGAAAAGTATAAAATGAAAAAAAAAATGGTTTCAAAGTGCACATAACATTCAACTATGTAGGATTCGTAAACTTTAATTATATTTTATACTTATTCTTGGCTCGTTATTGTTTTTTTATAAAGTACACTTTGATGTATACTTATAAAATTTTACCGAGTATATATATAGAAACGCGTTTTAATTCAGAATTAAAGGATAACGCTATTTTCACAGAGGAAACAAATTTTCACGTTACTTCTATCTGTAGAGTAGAGTTTTTGCGATTAAAATTATATTTTAACATAACATAAATGCATTATGTATATGCATATATAAAACATATTGATATTCAGAAAATAAAAATAAATGCAATTTTCAAATATGGGATTCTATTATTGAATTTTCTGCAATGTATCGCATTTACGTGTTTAAGCCATTACTTTTTATCGTCGCAGTGCCTCTAAATAAGAGAGGAAAAAAACTACGCAATAAAACAAGTATATTAATATTGCTTTGTCTTTATGTCTGGAAATATCTGTACATGGTTTATTAGATATATGTTATTAATAATACGTATTAGGATATAAAAGCATTTTTACAATTATTTATGTTATCCTATTATATTTTATCCTATTTAATAAATTATAAATATCAATCAAAAGTTTTAAACAAATATTGCAAAATATCTAAGAATAAATTCAATTTAATTAATTTGTATTGACAAAATCTTGTATACAAAAAAGCCTGATATGCATCAACCCAATACTTCAAAAGTTGGAACATACTTACTTAGGTAATAAACTATTTTATACATTTTCCTGAAAAAAATAGGAACATTTTGCATTCAATATTCATTTAAATACAGTAAAACCTGTTTTTGGGCTGTAGATAGCGACCGCACAAAAAAATATTCGAAAATTTAAAAAATTATATCGTATAACAAATAACTTTGTATTGTGGTGCTTACTTCAGCCCGGATATAACGTCAGGTACCAACCCGGTACAGGACGCCCCACTCCAGCCCGTAGCGGGTATACCGGGAAGGACGCATAAGGGTGCTACCCGCATATGGTATATAAGCTGCAGGATATCTATAATTGCTCTCTGCAATGCCGAAAGAGCTAAGGCTTACAGGAGCATGCACCTTTAAATAATTAACATTGTAATATGTCTCAATCCGAATAAATAAACTGAAATATATATAATCGCTCTGTTGTGTCGCGCCGTGTTAGCCAGTAAGGTTCTCTGTATTATATCGTGTAAGTACCCTTTTGTATCCTGTCTCTCTCTCTATATCATTACTTATCCGTAAACATACTTGTAAACACCGCCATTGTGGAAGTAAATGCTCCCACTCTATGAACATTGCTCTCCAATCCATATAACCGAACTTCTCCAATTTGGTGACCTCGACGTGAACGTTTTCTGCCGTGGAACATAAAACTGTGGTTTACCATGATGGAAGCCTGTTTTTAAAGCGCCAGAATCACCGCGGATTTGGACAAATATTTATGCGTGGTTAGCAGCTTGGACGAGAAAAATATACGTGAAGTGGAGGACGTGATAGGAAATCCACCAGCAGTTGGTAAATACGAAAATTTGAAAAATACATTTATCGAACGGCAATTACCCAATCGTGAGGAGATGGATGACCGCGCGCCTTCGAAATATTTACGCCATCTGAGAGAGTTGGCCGAAACAACTGTGCCAGAAGATTTCATCAAGACGCTCTGGATGGAGCGGTTTCCTTTTAATGCACGTGCACAAGAGACGCAACACCAGAAACATCGTTGGAAGAAACATCGTCCGCAGCGGGAATGTTAGAAATATCGTGTAAACCAGAGCTAGCTATAATGAGAAGACGACCTGAGGAGCGTAGCTTTCGCTAGATATAACGTTCATGTTCGCGTCCATGAAGTGTAGTTAGAAATTTGTCGGGTAATGTGTGCTGGTATCACCATACCTTCGGTTCAAACGCGTACCAGTGTAGATCTCCGTGCAACTTAAAGGTGGGAAACGACGACGGTCGTCAGTAGTGGCTAACTACGACCACAAACATTTTTCATGCCGCTTATTCCTGACGGACAAGAACATGAATGTACGATTTCTAACAGACTCGGTCTCTTAATCGCAGCCACAGAGACAAATCAAAATACGTACTTGTGGCGGCTAACTACTCTACAATCGCGACAATCGGGACAGTGCCCTTAGTGTTGCATTTGGAACTGCGCCAATATTTCACGTGGAATTTCGTGGTCGCAGATGTGAGTAAACCCATAATCGGCGCGGACTTTTTGGACCAATACAAGCTCCTCGTCGATATTTCGAACAAACGCCTCGACGACCAACCGCATTATCTGAAAAGGCACAATGATGCGAAACACTGAAAGCATCAAAACCGTCAATGGATCGTTTCCTTACCATCGGTTATTAACAAAGTTCCCTGAAATAACTCGTCCTGATGGAACACCAGGGGAATCAAGACCATGCCATCAGACATTTCATTAATACAACTCCAGGTCCACCGGCCTCAGTAAACTAAGACGTTTAGTCCCTGACAAATTAAGGCGTGCAAAGGCAGAATTCGTGGGCGGCCCCGTTCCACATGGTGCCAATTTCAGATACCCAGTGCCACACATCGAAGACTTCGCACATCCGCTGCGAGGAAAGACGGTTTTTACGAAATTAGACCACGAATCCGTGTTGCAGAAGAAGATATCCCAAAAACGGCCATTACAACACCCTTTGGCCTTTTCGAATTCCCGTTCATTACGTTCGGACTACGAAATGAAGCTCATACCTTCCAGCGATTCATGGACGAGGTGCTGCGCAATCTAGATTTCTGCGCAGCGCAAAGTGCGTCTTCGGAGAGCCCCAGGTAACGTTCCTCGGGTACAGCGTCTCCAGCATCGACACAAAGTCATTACCGAAGAAAGTAGAAGGCATTAGAAGATTTCCGCAACCAACGACAGCACAATATCTCCGAAAATTCCTGGGTATAATTATTTTTTACCGCAGATTTTTGGCAAATGCCGCAGGTACCCGAGCGCCACTAAACGACCTGTTAGTGGGAAACATTAAGGAGAAGTCACTCATCAAGTGGTCAGTCCAGACGCAGAGAGCTTTCGAAAGCTGCAAAGAGAGCTTAACACAAGCAGCGCCATCCGCAACCAATCTGCAAACCGGGGCAGCCCTTTCGTTCATCAGCGACGCCTCAGATTTTTCAGCCGGCGCAGCTCTCCAACAGCGAATAGGCAACGAATGGAAACCGTTGGGATTCTTTTCTAAGAAATTGACCACAGCGGAGAAGAAATACAGCGCATACGACAGGGAGTTACTGGCGATTTACTTAGCAGTGAAGCATTTCAGACACCTAGTAGAAATCTCTCTCTAGTCTCTCTCTCTATCTGTATCATTACTTATCCGTGATTGAGCCGAATAAACATACTTGTGAACACACTTGTGGAAGTAAATGTTCCCACTATACTTCTCCAAAGTATAATATACTACAAAAATGTTTTTATGCGGTGCCTATAGCACAAAAAAAAATACGTCAAAGATTTATAAAATACTTGAGAAAGTGCATCAAAACAAAATACATAATTAAATTACACAGAAATCTTTTTAAAACATTTAATTTTTCAGTGTGCATATGGACAAATTTTCAAAATGCACATACATAATTCACTGCTGCTCGTGTTAATCCAAAACGCGCATCTTCTTGTGATGAATTGGTTACAGAATTGACTAACAGAATCGTTAGAATAGACTGTACATATGCACATTGATAGAAAATATTACAACGGCGCCAATTCACCGTTGGAATTCATATATAAAAACTCGCATAAAAAAGGACCGAACAAAAACAGGTTCTACTGTATTTGTTGATATTATTGTTTAATTTAATTTATTTCCTTTTCATAACTAGAAAACCTTATTGTTTGTAAATGTAATAACCACTCTGCATATGTTACATTTAACATGTAAACTTGTTTAATTATAAACTATGTGGATTGTGTACTTATTCACTAAAGTAAAAAATATTCAGGTTATTTTTAATGTTCTGTTATTATTTTTGTTCTTTAGAGATACTAAATATTTCTTAAAAATCTTAATAATATATTAACAACAAAATATACAATTTATATAAAATTGTAAATTAATGTCACAAAAAATAACATGAACCTAACCTAATTTGATTCCAGACCCAGACTGATTTATACTTGCAATACAGCAATACCTCACGTAATCCATTGTTTGAAACCAGATTTATCGAGGAATTTAAAACCGCACAGACGAAATAAAATGATCATTTATGTATATAAAACAATTTTGTGTATTAATTTAAAAAAAAATATTTTGCTCAATTAATAGTTTGTTTTGAAATTTTCAAATCTATTAATACTATTGTAAATCCGCATAAATCGAAGCCGCAATATGCGAGGTTACATTTTAATGTAGTAATATAATATTTCTAATCTAATTTATATCGTAACTCAAATTAATTTAAACTTAAATTAAAATAAGTATGTTTCCTTAAGTGTAAGTTATTAAGTAATTACATGGAATATATAATACATAAAACAATATTATATAATATTCGATTAAGACCATGAACATTGATGGTATTAAGAAAAAAAGGAAAAGCTGTAAAGTAAAAAGGAACGTGTAATTACCGATCAATGCGATAACAAAAGGTATTAATTTTTTCGTCATTAGCAGGTCTCCTATTTTCCTTCTTGGAGGTAGCAGATGACGACGAAGAGGATAGAACCAGCACAACAGAAAAGGAAATGGTTACAATTGAAAAGGAAGGACAAAAAAGAAGACCCGCAATTCCTTTCAGATGCAGGAAGACATTTTGCCTTCGTTCTTGTACAATTTTCTCCGCCTCTGCTTCGAAAAAGTTGTTGATAAAATAAAAGATAAATAATAATGGTGAGACGATTAATCACCGGAATTGTAGTGTCTTAATTATTTTTTCCGGACAACCCAGAGTTTTCGAGAGGTTCCAATTTACCGAGCTTTATTCGCGTGCTCGTAACCATTAGACGAAGTGGAAATAAATTACTGCACAAAACGTCCTACATATCGATCACACAATAGCAGAAATGCAAATGGCCGATTTCGAACGGCGCCCGAATTTAATTCGCAATCCGGAGCTTCCCAAATTTATTTATTTATTTACTTACACTTTTCCCGGTGGAACGCACGCATAAAAGGTTTTAATAGCTTCAATCTCGATAAGCAGCCTCTTTTCACCAACATTTCTTTAGAAATGTCGAAGCTCCATCGAGTTTCCACGCTTTATCTGGAAATAATTCCCTCAGTCGGCAATTATACAGGATTTGATTTGATTGATCCTGACGCGTAAAGCAGCGAAAACAGACGTTCTGATGGTACAATGAAAACAAAAATAGCATTTACGAAATATTAAATAGCAATTTTTCCTCGGGCGTTGAAACTTTTTAATTAAGCCCGGAACGAATTCACAGACCATCAGGAATGACACACTTCGTGGACGAGGAGTTTGCTTTGCGCTTTCCAGACCCAGGAAAACAATTAAAAACTGTACAATCCGATTTCGCAACGAGTTTTTAATAAGACAAAAAAATGTGACACCAAAAAATTATATAACTACGTCGAGGGAAATAATTGGTCTCGTTTAATATTTGATCAAACATCCCGCACTAATTGGGCCGCCCTTTGTGCAACGTAATTATGACATAGTCCGTCCATTTTGATCGAGAAATAAGTAGAAAATTAATAAATCCTCCTCCTGTGAGGCTTCACAAGATTAATAAAGAAAGTAAAGAGTTTTTTTTCTCTTAAGAGTTCGCCTTTGCTTTCAAAGGAGATGGGGATCTCTTAGTTTAACGACGTTAGATGGTAAGGAAGAATTTACAAGACTATCCTTTATGGAGAAAGTGTGGACGAGCTTTAATAAGACTTTTATTGAAATCTTCTCCGTGTGTTTAGGAAATAAATCCCCCTGATGTGGTTCAAAACAAATACAGAACTCGGCAAAGTGATTAAATCGGTTGGGAAAAAGGTGGTGAAAAAAGGGATAAAAGCAAAAGAAAGGACTAAATCCTATTTGAATTCACGTCGAATTTCCTACTCAATTATACTTTGACCAACAGCATAAATAAATCTCGAATCGACGTTCCTAATTCCTTACATTATTCCTAAACCGAAGCAAACATAGATTTGATATATCGCGGTTAACTATAACGCTGGAAACCTTTTAAAAGCATTTCATTAATTCGTATATAATACGACTAGTTCCGAATAAGTAGCGTAGTACTTCCCTGGAATCTATGCTTGTTTGAGATGTAGATGACCAAGATTTTAAGGAGTTACTGCAGGTTATTATTATTATTATTACAAAAAATTTACAATTATTTGGAAACTACAAACAATGTTATATGAATTAAATAGATGTCACCAGAGATATTTATATTCACTGACAAATATCAATTTAAAATGATTTCCAAATCATTTTACATTAACCGATTTGGTAAAATAATTATTCAAAGATTAAAAAAAAAAAAAGTTTATACAAAACTATAATTATATGGTTATAAATATGATACTTATTTAACATTTTCTGAAAAATAAATGACAGTTTTGTACAATAGATGCAATTTGCTGGTATAACAAATCATAAAAGTATACACATTAACATAAAATACACCATTGGAGGTCGCCTTGATCGATGATCAGTTTGGTGGAAAATATCCTACGAATACAGTAAATACTCTTGAAATAAATCTCGTTCATTGCAGAACTGAACATGAGGAATATTACTTTTTATACATTAATATATTTAATTTACATTCATTTTCTCAATTATACTAAGTTTATTATAAAAAAAACATAACGGTTTTAAACGTGTAGTTGATTCACATTTAAATATTTACTAAATGTATTAAACGTTTAAATAATAGAATATTTGGATAACAATGTGTTCAATGCAATGCTGTTTTGCAATGTAAATTCAATGCAAATATCAAAATGAATTGATAAACATGAGATTTTCATAATAAACAATTTTGAATATATCTAAAGATACTAGATATGTTGTACATTGATTTTATAACTTTATTTTTGAAGATGCCAACCATTAATAAGTCAATTCAATCTACCAGGATGTATGTGAGCTCACTCGGTGCTTCAGCAAAAAGGCCATCGTTGATGGACAATGATAGTGTTAATGATAGCTGCAGATACACAGACAAAGGGAATAGTGGAATTGCAGTACATCACTATACTACTAAACTTAACCTAAAAGACAACAGTCAACCAACAAATTAAAAAAGAAGAAAATAATGGTAAAAACTTCTAAATATAGTAAGTAAATATTCTAATAAAAAATTATTATATAATTGTAATGGGACAAGCAAAGGTAAAGCTAGCCTTAAATAATATCCCGGGCTTGAAAAATTATATAAACGGGTATGTTTATCAGTGGCATAGATTCTGCATAGCGAGTGTCTGTAATGTGGAAAGGCCCACGAGTATGAGTGAGTCTGGACTATTTAGAAACGATATTTGTGGATCTAGCTTATTAGTTCAATGAACATTTTTGGGCTCCAAAAATTCTCGTAGGCTCGAAACAGTGCTGATTTAGTCTTTAACCCTAGTTACGTCGTTAAATTTTGAAAATTAATTTTTCTTATTTTCTATCGATTTTCCTTATGCAATTATGATTAAGGAAAGATATGAAAATCTGCCCAATCATTTTCATAAGCCCAACATTTTTATGCACGAGTAGATTTTAGAAAATAATGCAATTCTTTTTAGATCACTATCATTTTTGAAGTAGTTTTGATTTAGAGTCATGATTTGTTTTTGGTATGTAGGCAAAACAAGTCAATATTTATATATTAGGATAATACAGCAACTTGAATTTCTTTCAGTCAACCACTCCAACCATTCTGAAGCTTAGTTTCCTACGCCAAGATATCATCTGTTGATATTTTTTGTCCTAGTTTATAATTATGAGATAAAGCAGGTCTTCCTTTCCAGTCTAGTATAAATGGAGTCATGTACAAAATTTTATCTGATTCTTGTAAATGGTGTAAATTCTGTATATTTTAATGAAAAACTCATCAGAATCGATAGTTTCACAAACAACGCAAAAGTGCATCGCCGGTAAAGTGTTAATTACACATTTATATTTTACTAAAATATTAGTTATTTGAAACCAATATAAATTTATTAAGTAAACCAAACTTCACTCGGATATAATTAATGTAAACAATGAAAATTTATTAAAATTTTTCTAACATAAAATTAATGTTTTGTGTATAATAGAAACTGTAACTTGGTTGGACATGAATGAAAACTCTATTCTGTAGGAAGCAAAATATATGGAATTTTACGTCGAGC